AGATCTAAACCATCTAATACATATCCTAATATAAGTATAAAACTATACGAATATAATGGCATCAGTGATTATTTGTAGGTAAATATCAAATTCCAGAAAATTCAACAGGTGTTTTGTACTTATGAAAAATTTAACTTTCTGCCTCATAATGTACATGCCAAACATTTGGACTGGTATACATACTCCAAGTCAGACTTTCAGATTTCGAAAACGGTGACGTTGGTTTTCTTTTTTGTGAATAGCACACAGGAATAATGATTACATAATTGAAAACTGCGCATTTAAATGTAGAAGCCATAATTTCATGTAAACATTAATATATAGAAAACGCGCATCCCAAAAGAGGAAATGAGCTTTATGAAAACTCTCTCTGTACGTACGGGATTATTTTGGTCAAGAAGATGGAGAACAATAGACAAAAAAGACTACAAAATATAGAGTAGAGCTAGATGCTAACCACCTACATAAATAGGTACTTTAAGGAAGTTCATATGAAAAGAAATAGCTGCGATCCTCAGGGAAAAACGACACATGTATATGAATGACCAGAGACAAAACAAAACATATCGCTATATCCAATACAGATGGTGGATTATGGCTCTAAGGTTGTAAATTTGCCCTTCGGTTAATACAAAGAAACAAATGAGATCCACACATATAGACGTTTGATATTGGCCCTAAGGTTGAGGACTTGTCCTTCGGTTAATATGGGGAAATAATTAAAATCCATACATACAGATGGTGGCTCATGGCCCTAAGGTTGTGAACTTGCCCTTCGGTTAATACATGGAAACAAATGAGATCCACACATACCGACGGTGGATCATGACCCTAAGGTTGAGGACTTGCCCTTCGGTTAATACATGGAAACAAATGAGATCCACACATACCGACGGTGGATCATGGCCCTAAGGTTGTGGACTTGCCTTTCGTTTAATACATGGAAACAAATGAGATCCATACATACAGACGGTGGATCATTGCCCTAAGATTGTGGACCTGCCCTTCGGTTAATACATGGAAACAAACGAGATCCAGACATAAGACGGTGGATCATGACCCTAAGGTCGAGGACCTGTCCTTCGGTTAATACATGGAAACAAATGAGATCAGGACATATAGACGGTGGATCATGGCCCTAAGGTTGTGGACTTGCCCTTCAGTTAATACATGGAAACAAGTGATATTCACACATACCGACGGTGGATCATAGCCCTAAAGTTGAGGTCTTGCTCTTCGGTTAATACATGAAAAGAAAATGAGATTCAGACATACAGACGGTGGATCATGACCCTAAGGTTGAGGACTTGACCTTCGGTTAATACATGGAAACAATTTAAATCCATACATACTTTCAATAGATCATATCCCTAAGGTTAAGGACTTGCTTTTGGGTTAATACATGCAGAGATTTGAGATCCTCGCCTTCTAACCATATCCTGGTTGAAAGATACGAGAAGAAATCAGACATCTTTCCAATACAGACCCTGAGGAAAGAGACTTGGCATTGGATCGTCACCAGGAAAACGTTAAAATTCTCAGCATGCATATATATATATATGGATATCTGTCTTTCGTTAATACGAAATGACACAATTGTAGTTCCCATAACACACAGAGTAATAATACACTTTTACATCTAAAAAAATAACTTTATTTTGTTAAACATTTGAGGAGTACTTAAAGCAAGTTTTGTTTTTGCAAAATCCATCGCAAGCATTTACCAACCAGGTAGAAAGTACATGTTTTCACACACACACACACACACACACACACACACACACACACACACACACACACACCAAAATACCCTGATAAAATTTGTATTAAAGTATTATCTAATAATATACTATTAGACGTGTATATCACAGTCTCCATGAGAGCCAAGTGCAAACCATAATATTCACATATTCAAAACAACCTTATTTTTTAATGCTGTCAGACAGTCAATGAACGTTCAAGTGTGATACATTTTATTTGGTGTTGTTTCGTATGCATCCATAGCAAACAAGCGTCCTTGACAACAGGCAGATAGTAATTTAATATTTTGTAAAAATCTATCATCACAATTTCAGTCAAATTTATGAAAGAAAACAAATATCTTTTACATTTGCAGTTGTTGTATATATGATGAATAAAATAAGATCTGCTAAGCTAGTAAGCAATTATTGTGGTTAAGAACCTTGGAGTTTGTTTCACGCCAAAAATATTTGTTATCTATTACCGTGAGATTGTTCATACTATTCAACTAATATAACTAGAGTTAACATGTTATTTGTCCACAAATTAGAGTGTCCACGAATTAGAGTGAGATTTTTTAAAACTCTCTGAGGATGAAAATTTGTAGTTTTTGTGCGGTTTGTGAGCACGGATGTGAATATAGTCCTTACCACCTCCCTCCGCTCGAACCAGGCTTGTTCTCGATTGAGGTTTTTACAGAGTTTTAGGTTACAGCATGGCCAAGGCGAACATTGTTGCAAAATGTGCAAGTGCTAGACATCGCAGTAAACTGTCACACTGCAGACATCGATGCGATATAACTGAAAATTTTTTAAAGCTACGCAAAAA